TATACTTTGATTGATAAATTTGATTATTTGAAATTCATAATTATTTTATTTATTTTTTAAATTTATTTAGTATTTTTTTATTATTATATATAAAAATAATATATTTTAATATAATTAAAATATTAAAGTCTTATTTACTTTATTTTTATTATAAATAAAAAAATATTCTTTTTTGTTTCTTTTAATTAATTTTAAAATACCTTTTTTGTTAATATTATAATTACAATAGTTTAAAATTTTATATAAATTTCTTTTATTTTTAATACAACAATTATTTTCTATATTTTCACTAAAAATACAAAAGTTTTTTTTATTAATAATAAACATATAAATTTTTGTTTAGAAATATTTATTTTTTTAAAAAAGGATTATAACTAATAATAAAATAAAAAAAAGAAGTTTAATATTTTAATAAATAATTTAAAGGTGAATATGCATAGTTCAATATATTTAACTATTTTAATAGTCATATCTTTAATTTTACCAGATTTTATAAATTTATTTACCCAAAATTTTTCTTTTATAGATGCCGAATTAAAATACTATAAATATATAGGCGACGACTTATTAAAATACAAAAAATCCTTAGTAGAAAGCCTTAAATAAAAATATAAATTTTTTATAGAAAATCGTGAAAAAGATTAATAAAATTAAGATTTTTTATAAAAAGATTAAAATTAATGTTAAGAAAAAGAAGAATGTAAAAAAAATATATTTTTAAAATAAAACTATATTTTTTAGATTATTTCATGCCTGATTTATGTAAATATTTTGTTTCAAAAACTTCTAAAAACGAGATTATTGTAGATCATTATAACGATAGTGTATATTTGATTTCAATTGATAACAAATTTCTTTTTTAAGAAGCAAAAGTACATTCATGTAATTTAAATATATTTACTTAAAATAATAACTCTCTCTATATATAATTATTAATTATTTGATAAAAAAAAGATATTGCAATTCTTAAATTAGAAGATGAAAAATTATTTAATAAAATGATATATGAAAGAACAGGTGAATTAAAATGGAATCTATGTAGTTTTTAAAAAATAAGAGGAGTAATAAAAGATATTTAAATCGATTATATTAGAAAATCGTTTTTGATTGTATATGTTAATTTAGAATAAAATAATATAATAAGAATATACAATAATTTTATTACATGTAAAAAAACATCTTAATTTTAAAAAAATTAAGAATGTAGTTAAAATTAAAGTGATAATTACTTAAAAAACATTAATTTTAGAAACATATAGCTAAATAATATGGATTTTTTATTTGAAGCAGTTGAAAGTCTAAATTTATAAGAATTATAATTTACAGAAATTAATTTAAATTTTACATAAATTCATAAACTGGCTTATTAAAAAAATCTTATTGTAGTGTCCTCATTTCCAGACACAGTTTTATTAAAAGCAATTTCTTTAGAGAAGTTAAATATTTTTCATTTTTAATTAATATATTTATTATTATTTTATTTATTTTAGATATAATTAACATTAATAGAATAAAGTTTATATTCCAAATTATTCATATTTTGAAAAAGATTATATTCAAATACTTAATATATAAATTATTGAATAATAAGAAAAATAGTAATATTAATAGTTTATTGTTACTTCACTATAGTAAAAAAAAATTATTAATTTTTTATTTTAATAATATTACATTTATTATTTTTTAAAGAGGTAATTCTTAAGAGTTTTTTATCAATTGTGAGGTTTTTAAAATATAAATTGAATCAATTATTTTAAATGATAAAATTGATTATTAGAAATTTATCTCAAAAGAAAATGGATAAAATCTATTTAGCAAAAATATAACTTAATATGTAATTCTTTTAAATACTATAAAAATATGTATATAAAATAATACTATTAAAATATGTATATATAAATAAATAGATTGGTATAATAGATATTTTCAAATCTGAACTTTTTTCGAGAATACATATCACGTATTCAAAAGAATCTAAAAAAATGGTTGCTAATATATTAGATATGCATTTAATATTACTAGATTTTTAGTAAAATTTATATATATATATATAAAAATTAAATTATATATATAAAAGACACCCTTCAATGATAAGAATAATGGATATAGAACCGTATAATTATCAAAAACTTTAAAAAGAAGGATAAATAATTTAAAAATTATAATTTTCTTTGAACGGGAATTTTTTATGCATAGTAGATTATTATACTTTTTTATTTTAATGATAATTTACTATAAAAATATAAAAGATGACATAAGATATAGATTATAATAATCATTTATTTTTACTTGAATTAAAATAAATAAATGATATAAATGATATAAATGAAATTCAAAAATCAGGTTTTTATTTAAAAAAAAATTAAGAATTACAATATATATTTTATAAAAAAAAATTATTAGAAATTTACTAAATTAAAGAAATAAAAGATAGATTAAATAATTAAAAAATTAAAGATTTTTCAATTTATGAATCTGATGAAAATACTAATTCTTTGTAAAAGAATATATTATATTTTTTTAAAAATAAATAAAATAAATTTTTTATAGGAACGTAATTATTCTTTTGTAAGAAGGCGAAATAATTAGCATAAATTTATGTATTAATTGTACAAATAAATTCAAAAAAAGCCTTGCTAAAGAAATAATGGATATATTATCTACTCTATTAATTTCTTTGGGATTCTTAATTATGTTTATATGTGGAAGAACCTTAATGGTTAATATTGATAATGAATAAGATGAAGAATGATTTTTTATAATTTATAAAAAAATATCTATAAAATTAAATATAAATAAAAAAATTGATAAATATGTAATTAATAAAAAATAAAATATAATATATTAATATATAATTAAATAAATATATATATCTATATATTAAAATATTTTTTTATATAAATATATCTTTATATAAAAATATTTTAAATATATTTTTATTATTTTAATTTTTATTTAATTATACCTTTTTTATACAATTTTCTATTTATTTAAAAAAAACTAAAAATAATTGCATTTTTTTCTTAATTAAATAAATTATAAAACTTTTAAAATAATATAATAAAAATCTGTTAAAATTCCTAATTATAATCATATAAATAAATGAATTAATATACTAATTGTAATCAATAATTAGCAAAAATATATTATAAAGTATAAATAAAACCTCTAGGTGATTTTAATTCTTTGGATGGAACTTCTTTTGAAGGTCCAGAAGATAAAAAAACATTGACAAAATCTCTATCTCCTCTTAAATCATAGAGTTAAAGTAAAAATAAAATAAAATGCATATAAAAATATAAAAAAGCATATTTTAATTGTGAAAAGACATTATTGACTAAAACAATAAGTAATCTAAGTATAACATCGATAAAGAAAGCAAAAGACTCCTTTATAAATTTTGATCAATATAAAAACAATTAAATAAATTAGCATTCATAAATAATAAAAAAAGTATCTAAGTTTTAAAAAGAAAGTAATAATATGTTAATTTCAAGTGATAATAACCTCAAAACATATTCAAGATACATAGAATAAAGTTTATAAACATTACCTAAAGATCTTGATTTTTTAAAATAATCAAGTTATTATTAATAAATATAGGAAAATAAAAAAAGTTCACATTAATATATTAATAAAGAATAATAAGAAAAATATATAAAAAAACTTTATTCTACTAGTTAAGGTAAAAAGGAATAATTGGCCGAATTTACAAATAATAAAGAAATGAATGAATGTACTTTTTTTCCAAAAACAAATAATATATAAAATGGAAAAAATTATGGATATTATCAAAATAATGAAGTTTTTTTCTAATTATAGTGTCAGTTCAAATAATATGTAGAATATAAAAATGATTAAGTAATAAAATTAATATATTATTTTTTAATATTTAAAATTTAATTATATAAAAATAAAATAAGTTAAAATAATAACAAAAAGAAAAAGAAAATAGTAAAATATAAACATAACCGAAAATATTAGAAAAATCGAAAAAAATAATAGTATAAAAAACGAAAAATATACCACAAATTCCTTTAGTATACTAAAGATTATATAATTAAAAAAAAGAAAATTAAGAAAATTAAAATTAATCTAATTATTATAAAAGTAAAAAAAAAATATAAATATATATATAAATATATAAATATATATATAAATATAAATTTTTATTCATTTATATTTTTATATTATTTTTTTTTATATAGAAAATAATAATTCAGTGTAATTATATATTTAACAAAAAGCCTAAGAAATTACATTTAATCCAAAAATAAACAAGAGATCCAAATCTTTATAAAGATCATAAACAATTTAATAGATTCTATATATAGATGCTTAAAGAAGATTAAAAATATAAACCGAAAATTCTAAAAAATAGCGTTCTTTATCAATGGAATCTAATTATAACAGATAATCTACTTAAACTATAAATGCACTAATAAATAAATTACACAAAGAACTTTAAATCATATTAAAAGAATTACATATAGAAGAATATTAATAAAATATATAATTATAAAATTTATTTGAAATTCTATAATTAATGGGATTTATAGGATAAAAAGCATAATTAACAAACTAGGAAAAAAATTTAACTTTTTAAATGTGGAAAATACTTGAAGGGCCTAAATTAGGTAATATATAGGTTCAAAATATAATTCGATTTTTAGAAATTGTACTTAAATTAGAAAACATTTCTGAAAATAAATAAAAAATATTCATTAAAAGGCATATGGATTCTGATTTTAGATTATAAAAAGATAATTTTTAATAAAATAATGAAAATTTTAATGATAATATATATTAAATTGAAAATATTATAAAAAATGAAAATATTTTAAAAGAAAAAATTCTTCTTTTATTGAAAATTCTTAAAAAAAGTAGTTTTTCTCCAAAATAAGAATAATATGATCTTAATTTTACTTTTAAAAATTCATAATCTTTATAAAATAATTTAATTAAGGATCATTGTTTTGTTTGGGAACCTGAACATGATTAAAAAATATAAATTTAGAATTAATTTAATGCATTTTATATAAATAGATTAGCTTATGAGTAATTAAAACATATAAAAACCTTACCTATTGATGATTAATAACATTAAAAAAGCTCACAAGTAGCCCATACAGAATATTTAGCTACTAAACATAGAGAAAAAGTACTTTATAAAGCACTAAAATTACTCCAAACTTAACAAATAAGTGTAAAAATTGCAGAAAGTGGACGTATATCTCATTAATAATTATTGCTATTAGAAAGGATGACACAAGAATATGAAAAAAAGAAAAGCAAATTCAAAAAGAAGAAGAAAATTTAAAGAAATGCACTTTCAAACCTTAATAAAGTGAAAAAATAGTAAATAAAGATAGTATGACAGAAATACAAAAAGCATTAAAAAAAAGCGAAGAATTATATAAAAAAGGAGAATCAAGAAGATGGAAAAAAGACAGAAATAGAGATGAAATTGAATATTCTTAAGTATATGATGAATGCACATTTCAACCTGATATTTATAAAAGAAAATAAAATAATTAAAAATAATAGGTTTTTATAAAAAATACGGAAAAAAGTATAAATAGAATTAGATAGGCTTATAAAGAAAAGGAAAGTTTAAATTAAATAAAAAAAAAGGATATACAAGATGTGACTCTACATCTAATTTAAAAAAAAGTTAATTAAATAACTCTAATCAGAAACAAATTAAAAATAATTCTTAATAGAAATAAAATAATAATAATAGTTAAATTATTAATAAAAATGAAAATAAAAAATTACCAATAGAATTGGTTAGTTTTATTAATAATATAATTGAAAATAAAAAGGAAGAAATTAATAAAAAATAATAATAAGAAAATGAATAATCTATTAATTAAAAAATATAAAATAATAATAATAATAATAATAATAATAATAATAATAATAATAAATATAATATTTACTAAAATGATATAAATAATTAATATAATATTGATAATAATCAAAATAAAATTAATATATTTAATAACTCATCATAAAATATTGACAAAATTCCTCTACTTTTTGTAGATGTTAATCTTGGATAAGGAAAAACAGAAAGAATCATAGTCTATGAAGGAGATAAATCTGAAGATCTATCAAATAAATTTGCCTAAGCACACAGTAATTTTATTTGTTTTTTTATTTTCTAAAATATATAAAATATAATTAGATTTAGATTTAAATACAAAGCTTAAATTCAAAGAATTATTAGATACTTAAATAGCAGGATTATTAAGTAGAATTGATGAAGAAGAAGCTTTATCTTCTGAAAGTGATTAATAATTTTGTAATTATTAGAATATATAACTAAATAAAAGATAACTTATAAACAAATACTGACTTAAACAAAAAAATTGATTAAAAAAAAAATTCAATTTCTTTTTATTTTTAATAACAAAATTATTTATTAAAAATTAAAAATTAAAAAAAAAAAAATATTTAAAAAAAAAAACGTCAGCTGCAGGATTTGAACCTGCGCGGGTAGAACCCACTAGATTTCAAGTCTAACTCCTTAACCACTCGGACAAACTGACATTTTATATTATAATTAAGCTAGCAAAATTACTAAAGCATTAAATATTAATATTAATAAATTTAATGTTTGTTTAATACAATTTTAATATAATTTATAAATTTTATGAATTATTTAATATTTTATTATCTTAGTTTATTTAAATAAAGTAATTTTTTAAGTTTTTATTTAAAAAAAAAAAAAAATTAATATATTATTATTTTATTATTTAATAATATACTTTTTATTATCTTAATTACAATAAATGAAAAATAAAATTAATCTTTTTTTTTTAATATTAATAAAGGAATAAATATTATTTATAAAATAAATTTGTTTTTAATAAATATAAAATAATATAAAATTTAAAAAATTAATTTAAATAGTATTAATTTATTATTAAATAATTTAAAATTTTTAAATATTTAGTTATTTAGAATGATTAAAGTGAAATTTTTTTACTTAGATATATAAGTTTTTATATTTTTAATATATATGTTTCAATTAGTAAAAATAATTTCAATCATATTATTTTTAAATATGACATACATTTAAATTTAATACCATATAATACATCAAATTTTCAACAAAAAAATCTATATAAGTAGTAAATAAAATATGAATATTTTTTAAATAAATATAAAATTATATATAAATAAATAAATATATATATATAATATATATATATATGTAATTATTTAAATTTTTTTTTTTATCTTTTAAAAAATAAGATATTTAATATTAAAGTTATTTATAATTTATAATATATTTACTTTTAAATTTTTCTATTTTATATAATTTTAAATTAATTAATATTTTTATTTATAAGTATTTTTTAAAATAGGTATTTTTTTTACATCTCCCTTATAATTATAATTAGAATTTTTTTATTTTTATAAAAATAAATAATTTATGAAATAGAAATATTATATAGAGATTATACATGGTTGTATAATTAAATACTTCTAGAAAGTCTGAATAGGCATAAAATATATATATTCTCTTTATTATATAGTAATAACTATGATAACTGTGGAATATTGGATTATTACGCCTATTTATTAAATTGAATATCTTTTTAAGTTTATTTCAATGTTTTTTACTTGAAAATTTTCGTCCTATAGTCATAATTCAATAAAATTATTTCTTAATAATTTGAATATACAATAATAAGATTATATATTAAATTATTCATAATAATATGTGATAATGAAATTTTAATTAAGGTCTAAAATATTTAATATAAAATTATATATATTATTGTTATACAGTAAAAAAAATTTATTTTTAGTATTTTATTTAATAAAAATAAAATTTAAATTGAATATATAAAATAGTAACTAAAACTTTAAACATTTAATCAAAATACCTTAAACATAAAAACTTTAATAATAAACAATATCGCTTAGATAGTGAAAAAATGTCTTATTTCTTCATAGGAGCATATTTATAATTAACATGATTCTTCTATATATTATTTAATAGAAGAAAATGTTTAAATAGTAATAGAAAATTAAATAACTTCAATTAATTTTAAAATATAAATAAATTATGTTTGCTAGAAGTTTCATTTACTACTGGAATAAAAAAAAAACTGTAACTAAAAAAGTAATTGATTTTTGTAACTTTAAATAATATTTATTTTATTTAGTATTAAATTTTAAATATTCTATATAATTCGAAATTACAAAGCGCTTTATATTTATTTTTGAAAGTTAGAAGAAAAAATAAATATTTAGAAATAGTTTTGATAAAGAATTAATAATATTAGATTTAGATAATAATTATATTTTTAAGATTATTGGAATTTAATATGTTTATTTTTCAAATTAATAATAAAATTTAGAAAAAAAATAAAAATATAGGAGTTATTTTAATTATTTAAAAAAAAAAAGTTTAATGAGATTAAAAGAGATATTTATGATATTAAAAAAAATATAAATAAAATTAAAAAAAATATTAATAAATAAATAACAAAAAAATAATCAAATAATAATCTTTTTGATAATAAAATTTAAGTAAAAATTAATGAAATAAATCATTTAATTTAATAAAATTATAATTCAAAAATATAAAATGAAAAATATTAAGATTTTTAAATTAATTTGTTTTAAATTTAAATCGATAATTAATTTTTAACAAAAGTGTTTTAGAAAAATAAAAGAATATAATATATAAGATTTATCAATAATTTATTTTAAAAATCGAAATTAGCATTAATAAATAGACAAGAAAAAATTAGAACAAAATAAAATTAGAATTCTCAGGTCCATTGAAATCTTACAATAACTAATTAAATATAACCTAATTTATAATTTTATTAAAACACTGATTTAATATTATTTATATTTATGAATGTAGGGATAATAGTTTTGAATATAAAAAAAATATATAGAATTTAAAGATTATAATATTTCAGTATATAAATAACTAAATAGTGATATAATAATATCTCAAATAAGTAATATAGAAATCATAAAAAATACAATAGAAGAATAAAAAAAATACTATTTTTTTCAAAAATTTAAATAAAGACTAGTTAATTTTAAAATAGTAAAATTATAAATAATTAGTGTAAAAAAGAAAAAAAAAATAATTATTTTTTATTATAAATAAAATTATATAAAAATAAATGTAAAATTTAAATTTCTAATATATTTAAAAATCATTTATAAATGGCCAAATTTCGTATAAGAAATTAAATTCTAATATTATCCAAAAGGAGAATATTAAAATTATTAATAATAATAAAATGTAAAATAGTTGGATAATAAGCTAATTTGAGAAATAAACAAAATTTTAAAAAAGCTATAGAATAAAAATTCGTCATTAAATTAAATTTTATAAATAATATTGCCATTAAAATAATTATACTATTTTTCTTAAATAACTATGACTTTTTTTAAATAAATTTTTAAATAAAAACAATAAATTATTTTGGACGCTATTAATTAAATATAATATAATAAAAAGATAAATAATTTATACAAATATTTATAACGAGCAGTTAATTTTTAATAAAAATATTTATTTTTATGTAAAATTTTTTTGTTTAATTATTTTTTAAAAAAAAAAAATTATAAAAATTTTAATAATAATTAAAAATTATTTTTTAAATAAATATACATTTTTTATATATATATATATATAAATTATTATTTTTTTTTTGGTTACTTTAGTTATTATTTTCATATGATAAATTATTTTATTAACCTTTTAAATTGTTATTTTGTGTATTTAATATTAAGTATGTTATTTATTTAATAAAATATATTCAAATTTTTTTAATTTAAAAATAAAATTCTTTTATTAAATCATATTTCTTTAAATAAAAATTAATATAATAATTAAAATCAAATATATAAATATAAAAAACTAAAAAAAAAAACTAAAAAAAATAGATGAGGACTAAAGATTCTATATTAATTAAAAAAAATAAGAAATAAAAGAATAATTTCTATAATACATAATGTAATCTAGGCTAATCTAGAAAGAATACAATTTCAATTATTTTAATAGAAATTATTTTATCATTTGCATTTGTAGGTTTTAATTTATACATAATTGCCTCGAATTATTAATTCATATAAGCAATTACAATATCATTTGTAAAACATATAATAAATTTTTTTATTTATATATTATTAAAATTTAAATACAACAATAAAAAAATATAAAGGTATTAATACATTTTGCATATTTGATTTTTTAAGCAACTGTTATATACTTTCATAAAATAGAATTTTTCAAAGTACAAATAATAATGTATGCAAAAAAAATAAAAATATAAGTCTAATTTATTTTAAAAATAAAATAAAAAGAGATTTAATATTGAATGTTTCAATTTTAACATCTGTTATTTTCTAAACTGTATTTTTTAATGATTAAAATAGGGACTTCTTGTTACTAATACCATTGATTTTAATTTTAATTTTAGATGCTTTATTTATTATAAAATCCTTTATTTTTCATTTAGGTATATATAAAATGGCTTTTAATTAAAACAATAAAATTTCAACAGGTAATTTATTTATTTATTTTTTATTATTTTATTCTATTAATAAAGCTGCATAATCATAAAAATCTTTCAACTAGAATCTTTAATATATATTGACTCCTGATGATTAATCAGATAATTTTGAATAAGTTTAAAGCGATTAATCTGATATTATTATTTAAAATGTAATTTTTACATAATTTTAAATTTTATTTATTTCTGTTTTTTTTTGTAAAAAAAAAGAAATTTATAAAATAAAGTGATATTAATGATTTATAAAATAATGATGATAAATATGATATGTATTTTAAAATGAAAAATTCTAATGTGTGATTATATATGATTGTATATTATTTTGTGTTTATTTTATTAAAAATTATATAAAAATAAATATAAATTAAAAAAAAATTTAAAAAATGTATTAAATATATATAAAAGCTTATATTTTATTATAAAATATAGTAATTAAATAATTATGAAAAAAAAAAAAAAAAAAATTATTTATTTCTTATAAAGAAAATTATTTTATTTAAAAATATTTTAATATATTAAAAAAATATTAAATTTTAATTTTATTTTTTTTATATAAATAAATTTTTGATCATAATTTTTATTTTTAATACATTTTTATTAGAAATAATATATAGTTTTAATAACACTTAATTTTTTAATATAAAACCATAATTTATCATATACATAATTTATAATATTTTCCTTAGTACCTAATGAATATTAAATTCTTTAAATTAATTCATCATATCTTTAAATTAATTCATCATATCTTTAATTTCGAATATAGCTTTATACAGAGTTCTCTTTTTACAAAAATCTTATTATTTATTAAAACATCGTTTGGATTTTCAATTTTGAGAATGAATTCTACGAATTCTTTTATTAAATATAGTTATTAGATTTTATAGAAGTTAATTTGACCGAAGATAGTACTTTTTGTTAGTAAGATTTTTTTCCTTTCCTATACTACTATTGAATTAAATATAAGCCCAGAAATTCTTCTTTTCATTATTATATGATAAGAAAATAAAAGCCTTAGAGTTAGGGAAGAGTTAAGAGGTCAAAGTTTATAAAGTATATTCAATTTCTTATTTTTCGGTTTATTCTTTGTATTCTTATATTTCTATGATAATTAATTATCTTAAGTTAAAATTACCACGTTACTTACCCCCTTTTTATAAATGAGTAACATAGAATGTTGCTTGATTAATTAATTTAATTTATTTATTTTTGAAGTTTTAATATTTTTTTATATCATTCATTATGTACATACTATTTTTATTTCAGGAAAATTTATAAATTAAAAAGCTAATTAAGGTTAATTGTAAATAAAGATATTAGTTTTATGAAGTATTTCTTCGGTAAGATTAGATAAGTGTCGGAAATTTATAATTAAAGTTGTTTTAATTAATTTTTAAAGAATAATTATTTGTTTTTAAAATATTTTTTTAATTAAATGAAAGTCATAGTTATATATTAATATTAAAATAATATTATTTTCTATCATTGAAGAATATATTTAAATATTTATTTAATTTGTTTATATTATAATTAATTAAAAAATAATAAATTACTAATACTTTTAATTATATTATTTATAATTTATTAAATTATTATTATTTTATTTAGATTTTAATATCTATAAATTAATGTATGCTCCTTATTAATTGATAATTTATAAGAAACATGGTTTTCAAAAATATATAATTATAGAAGTAGTTCAATGATTAACATATTATAATAATAATTATACTTATATTTATTTATATAAATCATATAATTTAAAAAAATTAAGAAATTAAATTTTTAATGTTCCCTAAATAAAAATAAAATTTATAATTTTAATAAAAATTGTAAAAATTATATTTTCCTAGTAACTAATTATTGATTCTTAACTCTTTAAAAATTATAATTAACTTAAATCGTAAAATTTGTAATATATTTATAAATAAATATGCCTTGAAAAATATATTAATATCTTAATTACTGTTATTATGCTTAAAAAAGTAATAAGTCTAATAAATGATTATTGATAAAACAAATGAAAATACATAACAAAAAAATTAGAATATATATATGTAAAGTTATAAAGTTTAATGAATATATTTTTTTTATTTATTATTTACTTTTTTAAAATTCTATTTTTTATAAAATTATTTTTAATTTTTTTTTTTATAAATCATATAACTCTTTTTATTATTCTATTTATATTTTTATAAGTATAGTTAATTTCACTTACACATATTTATTTGGAATATTAATTGTGTAGTTTAAATATAAGTATTTACTTTTGATTCTTATACTTATATTTTTTAGTGGGTTTTTATAAGTTTAATATATTTTACAATTATAAAATAATATTTATGAAATCGCTAGCTAGATTAATAACTTAACTATTATGTTTTAAAAGACTAATTTTAATTTAGCCTTTAATTTACTTAAATTTAAAATAAATATCAATTTGAAAGTTAATAATAATCTTAAAATGTAATAAAAAAATTTAATACTTACATATTATTTATAAATAAAAAACAAATAAATAAAAATTTATAATATAGTATTTTATAAATTGAAGATTAAAATCAAAATTAAGTATATATTTAATTAAAGTAAATAAACAAAGTATATTATTTATGAAAAGATTTTATCAATTCAAAAAAATAAATATAGTATTATTTAAAAAAAAATATCATATTATTAATATGTTAAGTTCGAATTATTATAAAAAATATTTTTTTATTATTAAAGAAAAATTGCATATATGCTAATATTTAAAATTTTTATTATTTATTTAAATAATAAATTTTAAATAAATATAAAAATACATTTCAATAAAAAATATACATTAAAATTAGAACATAAATTTAAAATAAACAATATTCTAAAATAAATAATATATATGTTTTATAAACATAAAAATAATTATTTTTATAAAATTTATTAAACAAAAATATTTAGCCAAATATAAAATAAAAAGTACATAAAATTTCCCAACAAAATATTACACTCATCTAAATATGTTCTAAATTAGTTAAAAAGCAGAACCTTTGATTTAAGAAAACTGCATAAATCAAACTTTTAATAAGCAATCAAAATATTATTTTTACCCGAAAATTTCCTATATATGCCCTAAGAAAATAAAACTTTTAAATATGGAAAATAAATTTCTAAGTACTAGAATGACCCAATGGAAAACTAGGATTATCAACCTATTATTAATTTCGATTTCCAGAATTATATAAAATATTAACAACTAAAAAATATCTAGACGTATTGTCAGTACCAGCAAATTTTTTGAATCAAACAGAGAAAAGCCATTGGTATACTTTATTAAATGCAAGGGCTATAGAAAATTAATGTTTTGTAATTGCAAAAGCATAATTAGAAAAGGAAAATTTTTGGATATAGCTTAGTTGTGGACTCTTAGGGGGGGAGAGGGGGCAGATATCTTATTGATATAGGCAATGAAAATTCGGGAAATGGGTATGTTGAAATTAATTTAGAGAGGAATTTCGGGTGATTATATATAAGGAGTGATATTTATAAATTAATGGCGAATAAATAATAAATTTATATTTTTTATTTATATTTAAAAAAAATAATTAATTATATATATTTATATTAATAAAACAATATAGTTTTATAAACATTTTATTTTTATTAATATTTAATAATAAACTATAATTTAATTGACAATAAGAATTTGTAAACTTATAATTTATATTTTACAAAAAAATAAATATTAATAAATTATATATCATTCATTATTTTAGTCAATATAATTTTATAAAGCTATATCGCATATTTTGACTAATTATTTATTAGATTCAATAAATTATATCATATCATTAATATTAAATAATTATTAATCAATTAAAATTCCAGTAATCTTCTAATTATAATTTTAAAAATTCTATATTTTTTATTTAATTTCATTTTAATTGTAAATATTAAGAATTTATCCAATTTCATTAGAAATTTAATCTAGTTTAGAAATTTTATAGAAAATAATTTATCCAAGTATATATATTTTTTATAATTCATAAATTTTTATAAATAAGTCTTTATTTTTTATCAAATAATCTGTTAATTAATCTATTTATAGCAATTTATTTACATAATTTAATTCTATAAATTATTCAAACTTATTTTATTGAATATTTTATTTTAAAGGTTAAACGATTAACTATTAATAAGGTCTAACATTTTCCCTTTTAGTCTATTTTTGAATATTTATTTATTAATTTAAATTCTATTCATATAATAAACTTTAATTTTGTAAATTTGAAAATTATTAAAAATTTTAATTCAAAGTTTAAAAATTTTAATTTTAATTTAGATTTAAATATGAACACTAATTTTAATATTTGATTTTAAAAATGTTAGTTTTAAATATTTTAATACTAATTTTAAAAATCATTATTTTATTAAAATATATTAGTTTATAAATTATTATTTTAAAAAGGCTAAAAAATATTATTTTCTTATTATTAAACCTCTATTTATTAATTATTTTAAGTATTATTAAATAATTAATCTATAATATCTATTTTTTAGTCTTAAGGAGTTTATTTATAAAAATCTAAAGTTTTTTTATCTAATTCATATTTTTTTTTTATTTTTTAGAATTCTAATAAACCTTATTAATTCATTAAAATTGTTATTTTGGGATATTCAAAAATTTAATTTATTATTGTTTTATTTTTTTTATTTGTGCAAAATTATAAAAAGCAAATTCCCTAATCTTCTGTTTCAAAATAAAGGTGTGCAGATTAAGTTTTTAAATAAAGCTTATCATTATCTGAATTTTCAATATTTTTTTCTGTATAAATTATAATATTTTTAAATTCTGTAAATTCTTATATATTTTATTCTATCCAATTTTTAAATTTTTATTCTGTTATATTAATTTTTATTCCTTAACAAAATAAATTCTTTTCAGAAATATATTCCTATTATGTTTCTTCTTGTGTAAAATATTATATACATTAGTTTTTTCTTATAATATTTTTATAAATTTATTTATATTTTCTTAAGTTTACTTTTCATTTTTGGTTTCTTCCTAAAAACTTATTTAGGCTTAAAAATTTTTATATTCATTATTATATGTGATTAAAATACAATGTTTTTATAATTAAAATATATTTGTCATTAATTAGTTTAATTATTATTCCAATTCTTCCTTTTTTATTTTATAGTTTTCTTCTTTTATTTATTATGGGTATATTTTTTTTAATTAAATAGTTGTAATTATTTAGCTTATTTATAAGAATTTTTCTATTTTTATATTCATTTTTTATAATTTTTATAAATACTTTATTATATATTATTTTTTATTTATACAATTAATATTAAAATAGCTTAGTAAGTATCTTTATTATAATAATATAGTATCTTATATATTAATTTAAATATTTATATTAATATGTATTTGGTTTTAATAAAATATATTTAATAATAGACTATAATAATAATTTAGAATTATATATTTTATAAATATTATTATATAGAAAGATAAAAAAAAACATAAATAAATAAAAATATAAAAAAATTAAAATTAATTTTTTCTATAAAAAAATATAATATATTTATTAATTAAAAAAAAAAAAATGGATACATCCATTTTGCAACATAAAATCGAAGAACTAGAACTTTCCGAAGCTTTATTAAAGGACTTAACAATACCACCTATCAAAAATAAAACCGAAAAGCAAATAATCACAAAAGAATACGAGATCCAAAAGCGTTTAAAACGGAGTAAAGAAGTAATCTAATCCCAAGAAAAAAATCTTGAAATATTTTCCGAAAATCCTACCTCATAAATATTCCTTGTCCATTTTGGTACAGGCAATGAATCTGATGATTTCCAAATCCGCAAAATATTCGCTTAAAAACCTTTAAAAATTATTCTTTTTCCCGGTTTAAGTTACGCATATATCCGATTTGAGAACAAAGAATAATGCGAGGAGGAATTATTAAAAAAGACACATAAAATAATTAATAATTAAGGAACATTTTATATTGAAATTCCCGAAATTAAAAAAATCTTCATCTTTTTATTCACTACATTGTCAACTGAATAAATCCTAAATAATAAACCTAATGAAATCCCCAATTCTCTTAAATATATTGAAATTCCAGGAATTTTTTATTTTCCCAATTTTATCACTGAAGAATAAGAAAATTACATTATTCAATAAATAGATGAAAAACCCTGGATTAAACTATCTAAAAGACAAGTTCAGCATTATGGCTATGAATTTATATACGGATAAAATACAATAAATAAGGAAAAAAAAACAAATCCAATTCCTGATTTTTTATCAAATATGGTTCAACAATTAAATGAGTATATAAAAAATAAATAAAAACCATTAGACTAGCTTACTATAAATGATTATAAGCCAGGAAATGGTATTTCCTCTCATGTTGATGCTCATAGTCCTTTCGAGGAGTGTATTGTTGTAGTCTCATTAGTTTCAGGGGTTGTGATTACTTTCAAGAGTTACAAAAATGAAGAAAAAAGCTTGTTTTTGGAAAATAGGTCATTACTTATAATGAGTGGGGAGGGAAGATATGCTTGGACTCATTGTATATCAAGTAGAAAAGTAGATAGAGTTTAAGATGAAGTAATTTTTAGGAAAAGGAGAGTATCGCTGACTTTTAGAACTATTAGGTTTGAAAAATGTTAATGTTAGTTTAAGTTTTTTTGCGAAGATTAAGGATATGATCCAGTTGCTATGAAAAAAGATAATCCACTTTTACAATAGTTTTTGAAAGAAAATTGAATTTATATGATGGGTTTTTTTAATTCTCTTATATTGTCTATAATTAATTATTTTATTAAAAAAAAAAAAATTATTCTTAAAAAATTTTTAAAAAATCTTAACACTTTTTAAAATTAAATTTTCAACTTAAATATATTTATATATATTTATATTTATATTTATTTTTAAAAAAATATATATATATTTATTAATTTTTATTTAAGAATATATATATTTATATTTATATTTATATATTTTTTTTATATATTTTATTTATTGTAAAAATATAATTTTTATTCAACTATTTTTTATTATTAATTATATATTAATAAATAAATTATATATATATTTTCTAATCACAAATAAATATATTACTATAAATAAATATTTATTTATTTTTAAAAAAATGTCAAATAAAACTGAATAAACAGCCAATTCAATTCGTGGTTAAAATCCATAATCTTTAATCGAAGCTGTAATTCGTTAAAAAATATACTAAAATCGTTATTGGAAGGAATCTCTTACTGGATTAACTGCTGAATCAATAATAGATGAGGCAATTAAATTACAATATATAGCTGGAACATATGGTGGGAGTAGAAAGCCTAGTAAATTTTTAATGCTTTCTTTGAAATTATTATAAATATCTCCAAGTAAGGAAATAGTAATTGAGTATATTAGATAAGAAGAGTATAAATATTTAACAGCTTTAGGTTGTTTTCATTTAAGATTGGTTGGTTAGCCCGAACATGTTTATAATTATTTAGAACCTTTATATTAAGATTATAGAAAATTGAGGTTTAGGAATTTGAATGGGAGCTTTTGTATTTTTTACATGGATGAGTTTGTCGAAAGTTTAATTAATTAGGAAGTTTATATAGATACTTTATTACCTCATATTATCAAAAGACATATTTTAGAAGAAACCGGAAAAATATAGCCTAGAGTAAGTCCTTTAGAAGAACTTTTGGAAAAAGAAGTTGGTGAAGAATAAGAAAATATGAATATTTAAGAAGATTAAGATGTGAAAAAAGAAAAAAAAGAAAAGAAAAAAAGTAAAGATTGGAGGAAAATTATACACGGGAAAAAACATAATAAGAGAAATAATAATAATAGTAGATCTAGATCTAAATCTTAAGAAAATAAAAATAAAAAAGAACCGGCTAAAGATTCTATTGAATATTGGAATTAAATTAGGGCTGACTTAAATTTAGATTTAATGTGAGAAATTATTTTTATCATTTTTGTTTATATTATTATTTATTTATATTATTATGTGTTTAACAATTATGTGATTTTTTTTAAACTTTTTTTTTTTTAAAAAAAATATTTATTTTTTTTGCTTTTTTTATTCTTTAAAAATTAATTTTTATATTTTTTTTTAATTAAAAGATAGACATATATAATAAATAATATTAAATAAAAAAAAAAGAGGAAATATAAATTTAAAAAAAATATATAATAACACCAAAAAAAAGATAAAATTAATTTAAAATTAAGGAAATACAAATATATATATTTATCCTTCTAAATAAAGATTTAAATAAAAAAGCAAGAAAACAATAAAACTATAAAAAATAAAAATAAAAATATAAAAGATTTATTTTTTTTAAAAAAAAAAAAAAAAAAAAAAAAAAAAAAAACAAAAAAAAAAAAAAATAAGAAATAAGAAATAAGAAATAATGCAAGCTACAGTAAACCAAACAACATTATACATAACTAATTTATAGGACGGAGTAACCTAAGAATACGTATACAAAGAGTTCAAAAAGCACGGTTAAATTAAATCTTTAAAATTTTTCCCTAAAACAAAATCCGCTTATGTTGAATACTAAATGGCCTAAGATGCATAAGATGCCAAAAGACACTTAAACTACATTCCTATATTAGATAAAGAAATAAACATTTAATTTTACTCAGATCCCAGCCAAAGAAAAAACATTAAAGTACACAACTTATTTATAAAAAATGTACCTGAAGAATTAGACTAGAAGCATTTACATTAATTCTTGACAACTTTTGGTGAAGTATTTTCTTTGTAACTGAAGAAAAATGACGAAGGTAAAAATCTTGGTTACGGTTATGTATAATTCGAAAACGCAGAAGCTAGAGATAGAGTATTAGAATAATAAGATAAAGACTTAGGAAAACTTAAAGTAGGAAAATTTGAAATTATATTAGAAAAATTCAGCAAATTTTAATAAAGAGAACACCACAATACTACTATTCACTTAAGATAATTCTTTAGCACAGAAGTATAAGAATCAGAAGAATAAATAAAAAAATAAGAAATCGAATCTAATTTATAAGCTTTGACCTCTTAACTCTTCCCTAACTCTAAGGCTTCTATTTTCGTATCATATAATAGTGAAAAGAAGAATTTCTGGGCTTAAATTTCATTTGAAGATAGTACAGGAAAGGAAGAATCTTCCATACACTTAAAACTTGAGAAATTAAAAGAATAATTATTACCTTAATACCCTACTTTAGATATTATTGTCAAATAAGAAATCTAATAAAAGGAACTTTCTGAAAAGAACTTAATTTGTTTAGGCTTAAAGGAAAATATAAACGAATAAGATTTCTAATAATGGATAAAAGACAATATTAAAGACGCTAAATTAATCAGAGTATTAGTTTTCAAAAAAAGGACTCCCTAAAACGAAAACTAAAACAACGAAAATAGCAAGAAAGTATATAATGAAAATACTCAAATCGCTCATGTGCACTTCTAAACTGAATAAAATGGTGTCGATTTCTTGAAATTCTGTGCTGATAAGACAAATAAAGTCATTATCGATTAAATCTTCGAAACTCCCAAAATCACACTTTTATTAGATTAATAAAGTAAAAAGGAATTCGAAAAAACTAAAAAAGCCTATGAATAGGATAAAAAATAATTAGAAGAATCCAAAAAACATATTCCCGATTAAAAAGTTTAAGTCGCAAACTAACCTATGGGAATAGCTTAGTTTAACAGCCCTCTTTTCTTCATGAATTAGTTAAATTAAGCTATGCAAAAGAATTTACTTATGTCATAATAATAACCTTAGTAATCATTAAATCCTAACTTCGGAAGACCTGGACCTATTCCTGATAATAAACACGTTTAAAAACCTTAAGGTGTACCTTAAGCTAAATAAAATTAACCCGCAAGATAATAATAATAATAGTAATAACAATAGGGTACTTTTATAAATAAATTCGAATTATTCTTGTAGTAATCTACAGGAAATAAATAATAATAAGTAGAAGAATTGTCTGACTATTTATTAAAAAACAAAGAAGAATTCGCCAAAATTGAAGATGAATAAAAAAGAACTATCCTCGGTTAAATTATCTTCCATAAAATCCAAAAATTAAGCTTAATTAAAGAATAAGTAGGAATTGTTCTCAAGATTGAAAATGCAAATGATGTATAATAAAGAATAGAACTATTCTAAAAAGAAAACTCTAAAATTACTGGTATGTTAATAGATAAGGATGTGTTTGAAATCAAAGATATGCTTGAATTTGTTGAATTTAACTAAGAGCTTATTGAAAGATGTGATGAAGCTATTTAATTAATTTAAAATTCCTAAGATCAGTAAACAGGTTAATGATTTTATATTGATTTGCTTTTCTTTATTTTTTAAATATATTTTTTTTTAAATATGGATTAAAAAAAAAAATAATAAAAATATTATTTAAAAAAAAATGTTTAATTTTTTTTTTTTTTTTTAAATATTAACGAATGCTTTTGATTTTATTTTGACTATGTATCTCTTTTTTATATTAATTTCTTTTAAGTTTTATTTTAATCTCGCTCTTTAAAAAAAATATATAATTTATAGATATGTGTATATTTAAAAACATATTATTTCTTTTATATATAAAAATTATAAATAAATTATTTATTTTAAATATAAAAATTATTATAATTCTTTTAATAATAATTACATATTTAAATTTTTCTGATGAAAAATAAATGTATATTTATATTGTTATTATAATTCAATTCTTGAATTAATAAATAATAAACTATTTTTTTAATGTTGAATCTGTATATATATTAAAATTTTAAAAATTCAATTATTTATATTTTAAAATATTTAAAGCTTTTCTTTTTATCTATAATTAACAATAATATCTATTTATATATTCTATATGACCAAAAATTAAAAACAGAATTATATTATGTTTTTATAAAAAATAAATAATAAATATTTACACAATATCAAAAAAACGCATTTTATTTATTTAAAAAAATAATTCATTTTTTCTTTAACAAAAATATAAAAAAACAAAATATACATATTAAAAAAAAAGAAAAGTAAAAAACCTAATTTAATAGAACCAAAATTAAAAAAATAAATAATAAAAATTAAAAAGAAAAATGCCATAAAATGAGTATATGGAGCTCCATAAAAAGCGTTATGGAGAACGACTAGACGCAGCTGAAAAGCGCCGAAAGAAAGAATCAAGAGGGCATCACGAAATATCTCGCAAAGCATAAACTCTAAAAGGTTTGAAGGCTAAAATATTCAATAAAGAAAGATTTAAAGAGAAAATAAGAATGAAAAAATTAATAAAAGCTCATGAAGAAAAAGACGTAGAAGTAAAAGCTGATTAAGTAAAAGAAGGAGCCGTCCCTGCATATTTATTAGACAGAGAAAAAACTGAAAATACTAAAGTATTATCGAATATGATAAAATAAAAAAGAAAGGAAAAAGCCGGAAAATGGCAAGTTCCTTTATAAAAAGTTAAAGCATTAACCGAAGCAGAAATGTTCTAAGTAATGAAATCTGGAAAAAGAAAAAAACTAGCCTGGAAACGAAAAATAAATAAAGTTACATTTGTAGGTGATAACTTTACAAGAAAAGCACCTAAATATGAAAGATATATTAGACCAACTGGTCTTAGGTTTAAAAAAGCTAATGTTACTCACCCAGAACTTAAAACTACTGTCCCTTTGGAAATTTTGGGAGTTAAAAAAAATCCTTAGAGTAATCTTTATACTAATTTAGGAGTTATTACAAAAGGAACTATTCTTGAAATTAATGTTTCAGAACTTGGGCTTGTTACTTAAACAGGCAAAGTTATTTGGTCTAAATATGCTTAGGTTATGAATAATCCGGAAAATGATGGATGTATTAATGCTGTTTTATTAGTTTGAAAGTATTTTTTTTATATATCTGTTTTGTTTATTTTTTTAAAAAAAATTAATAATTAAATATGTTTATGAATTTATCATTTTAATATTTTGTTATTTTTTTTAATTATAAAATTGTTTTGCTATTTTTACCCTTTTTTTATAATTGTTTTTTTTATTTATATTTTTGTTTTTTTTTTATATATTTTTATTTATATATATTTAATACATTTTATTCTTTATATATATTATTATATAATAATATGTAAATATATTTATTTTATATATTTATAAATTTTTTATTTAATTATAATTCTATAAATAAAATAAAAAATTAATAAGAATAATAAAAAACTAAAAAAAACCAAAATACAACAAAAAAAAAATAATAATAAACAAAGAAATGCAATAATAAGAAAAATAAAAATAATCTCCTAAAACACCTGATTAGAATCAAAATTCATGTTAAAAATAAGAAAATACTCCCGAATATTAAATAATCGAAAATTTTAATAGAAAAAACAAAAATTCTCTTGTAAATACTCCCGAAATAATCAAACCAAAAGATCATAAAGCAAAGAAAATTGAATAATATAATTAAGAAACTCCTGAAATAATAAAATAAAAAAACATTATGGATATCGAATTTTCAAGTCCAGATAATGAAAAATAAGATTAAATTAATTATTAAGAAATAAATAAATGCAATTAATAATAAGATGAATACAAATATAATTAATAAGAAGATGAATACAAATATAAATAATAAGAAGAAAAAAATTACTATTAATAGGAAGAACAGAAGTAATAATATTTTTAAAAAGAAGTAAAAAAAATAGAAAAATATGTCATAAATGAAGATTTTAGTAATACAAATAACGATATCTCTATTTATGAAAATAAAGTAAATTAAAGTTATTCTTTAAAAAATGAAGAGAATATTTCACATTAGATTATTGATATTTAAAATATTAATGGAATTAAATAAAAAAAAAATATTGAGAAATTAGAACAATATTAATAAGATAACTTATAATAAAAAAATACGAAATAAAAGCCTGAAAAATATTTAATTTTTCTTATTTATTAATTATTAAGCATATTTTCATTTTTTTATTTAATTTAAGAAAATAAAAATGAAATATTTTTAATTTTTATTTGGATAGATTTCATTTCAAGATTTTTTTTGGTTTAGAAAAAACTAAAAAAAACGTTTTTTTTACACTTAATTTTCTCTATTTTAGTTACTTTTTTTAAAGAAAAATAATTTCATTTGATTTTTTTAATTAGAAAATTGATTTTTTTATATGATTTTATTCATTTTTTTCCGAAAATAAGTCTATTTTTTGATCTTATAATTTAACTTTATCCATTTATAATTCTTTCTTTTCCCTTTTTTTATTATTCGTTTGAAAATTTTTACCTTTAGAATATTTTCTGGATTATTTTTGGGCCTTTTTTAGTTATTAAAAGTAAAGAAATTCTCAAAAAAATTAATTTTTTGGAATAAAAAGATATTTTTACTAAAATTTTATAAAATATAATACTACATATAGATGATTATTTTACCTAAAATAAATAAAAATTAGAAAAAATATAAAAAATTAACTTAATAATTTACTTTTTTACTTTTTTGTAAATATTGTTGACTTATTTTCTATGGGAAAGTGATAAAAAACCATATTTTATGATTAGTTAATGTCTTTTACTCATGATTAAATCTAAAATTATAAAAAAAGGAGAAATTTTTGAAGAAAGAAATATTTTTTTTTTAATTTTTTATTTTTTTTATCCATAAATTCTCCCAAATAAAATCTTCTTAATATTTTTTATTAGCTTAAATGGCTTTTTGGGTCATAAAATTCTAATAATTTAACATTTCTTTTATGTTTTGAACGATTTTATGATTTTTTTATTCATTTTTCTCTTATTATCTGCTAATTAAATAATCTTTTTGGAAAGATTTTCTCATTTTTTATTTATTAAAGTCTTTTCGTTTGCCTTAATATTAACTCAAAGTGACCTCTTATTAATTGAAATGGAATTTAACGAATAAATTTAGAACATTTAAAGATTCTGGTGGCAATTTAAGCTCGTATATTTACAAAATGCAGTAACTATTTTCATCATAACGAAAGAAATTTGCCAAAAAACATCCCTTTATGAGCATGATATATTGGATAATATTGAATTGATAATGATTCTTTTAATTTTATTGACAAAACTAGTAATTGTAAATTATAAAATAGGGAAATTAGTAATAGTAATAGGTTTTTTAATAAGTTTATATTAATAAAATTTAGACATATGTAGAATATTATGCATATATATAGGATTTGGCATAAAAAGGGAGATTTTGGATGTTTTTGAAAGAGGATTTTTTTAATTTTTATTTTTTATAGGAATTTATTTTTTAAGTTAATTTTTTTTTTTTTAAGAAAAAGATATTTTTCTAAATGAAAATTTTTAATGGATAATTTCGTGTTTTATTTTGGCTAATTTTCTTATTTATTTTAGAAATTTAAAAAAAGAAGAAATATGGATTTTGGTGAAATAAAAAATTTATTAAGAAAAAAATTAATTTCTATTTGTTGAAAAATATTGCTCTTTTTGTGGAAAATTCATTCATATTTATATCAAATAAATTGCTTTTTTTATTATTTATGTGTATTTTGGATACTTTAAATTATATTTTTTCAATAATTTTAGCCTTTTTTTAATTAATGGATATGTTATATTGGATATTTTATATGAATTTTTTGTTTTTGAAGAATTTTTTTAAATTAAACTGAAAATAAATGAGATTTTTAGGAATAAAATTGGAAAAAAAGATATTAATTTAGATGAATCTTTTGAGTTTTGTAAAGAGATTTGTAGAATTGACGATACATTTAAAATCAGGAATATTGAAAGGAGAAAAAATTTAGAAACTATATATAAATAAAAATAAGTAGTTTGCTATTAGGATATTTTAGAAATAATCGCTAAAGAAAAAATTCTATTGAACAATGAAGATTTGAATATTTAAGGATATTTTTAAAAAGTATTTTTTTTTATTTTTTTTATAATTATTTTTTTATTTATAGAAAATATTATTTTTAAGTTGGTTAAATTATTCATAAAAAATATATGCTAAAAAAGAAAAATATGGAAATTGATGAACATAAATAATTTAAAATATGTATATACATATATATATACATATATATATATACCATATTATATAAATATATATTATATTTGAATATAATATTCATTTTTTACTACTAGTTCTTTTTATATAATCATTTTTCTATTTTAAATTTATTTTAATTTAAAATATTAAAATAGTACGAAATTTTAGATATATTTAAAGAATATAATTTATTAAATTTATATTATTAATAAAATATTATTTATTAATGAAAAATTTATAATTATCTTGTATTATTAAAAAAAAATCCCATATTAAGAAAATATAAAAATATTTTAATATATTAATATATATAGAAAAAAAAAAAATGATCTACTGAATTAAGCTTTTATTATTAATATTAATAAAAAAAATAAAATTAAAAAAATAAATATAATTAATTTCAATCGCAAAAAAAAATAATATAAAAAAATATAAAAAAAAAAAAAGTTGTATAAATATATATTAAAAAAACATATGAACTAAAGATAAAAAACCCAACAAAACAAAAATTCAATCCGCTAAAAGTTAAAAAACACATTATTTGTAGGAGTAGATAAAAAAATAAATCCTGAAGAAAACACTTTGGATATTCCTAAATTCCCAAAATAACCATAATGCTCTTTAAAAGAATATAATAATGATATCAACCTATAATAATAATAATAAACACATATTAAAAAAATTTAAACTGAAGAATGTATTAAAAATGAAACATACTAAAATTCAAACTAATAATTGTTTTTTTTATAAAAAAAAAAATTCTATATATATAAATTAAAAAATAAAATAAAATAAAAAGAGATTAGTCACCATCAAAAAACCCAAAAATAAATTCCACTTTAGATGATTTTAACGAAAAATACATTCTTGAAAAAACACTAGGGTAGGGATGTCATGCAATTGTAAAAACATGCAAAAATAAATTATCTGGCAAAACATTTGCCGTAAAAATAATCCGAAATGGCGACATAGAGATAATATCTGCTATAATCCGTTCATTTAAAATACTCAAAAGTCTTAATCATAAAAGCATTATTAAACCATATGAACTATTTATAAATTAAGAAACAGAAAAAATATTTTATGTTATGGAATATTGCTAATATTCACCATTAAGTCACTTACTTTAGCATAAAAAAATTCCCCAAAATAAACAAAAAAGTATCATAAGGAGTATTTTTAAAACACTCTCCTATTTGCATTAGGAAGGAATTTCTCATAGGGACTTAAAGCCTGATAATATTCTAGTAAATGAAGGTGATTTCGAATAAATAAAATTTATTGACTTCGAAGTATCTAAAAAATTTAAATAAATCTCTTTTAAAAATTTTAAATAAGTCCCCATAGTACAAGAAATGTGGACCCGCACAGGTACTTTAGACTATTAAGCCCCTGAAATATTCATTTCCGCCGGATACTCAGAATCTGTGGATGTATGGTCGTTAGGAGTAGTTTGTTATGAAATATTTTTGGGGACTTTACCATTTAGAAGTGAGTATGTATCAGATACTATAGAATTAATTACTTCTGGAAATCTAGATGAGGAGAAAATGAAATATTTAGATATAACAAGAAAAGATTTATTAAAAAGGATTTTAAAAAAGAACCCAAAAGATAGACTTAATGCAGTAGAAGTATTAATACATCCATATTTTTTAGAAAATGGAGACCTAGTTTAAAGGGAAGAGAAAATAAAACTTTTTAGTAGTTAATTTTGTAGGAATTTTCAAACTAACGGTGAAAACGGAGTTATAGTTTCAAGTTAATTTATTGGTAAAAAGAAAAAATATTATAAATAAAAAACTTCTGTTTAAGAAACGGAAAAAGAAGAATACAAAAAATATAGTAGAATAATAAGAATAGAAGATTTCAAAAAAGAAATGTTAGAAAAAAATAATATTTAGTAATAAAAAAATATACATATAACATAAAAAAATAATATAAATATTGTCTCGAAAATAAGAATAAAATTAATGTAATAAAGAATAAATGAAAAAAACTAAGAATAAATTAATGAAAAAGAAGAAAATTTATTAAACTAAAAAATAATAGAAAATCGAGCTAAAAGATTATCAGAAGATTTCACGTCTTCTTGCATTATATAAAAAAAATGAAATAAATATAAATAAAAATAATAATTAAAACTTGTAAAACATCAATAATATTAATATAATAAATAATAATTAATAGACAAATAAAAATATTAACAATGAAAAACTAAAAAATCTATTTTAAGCATTAAACAAG